GGGGTTACTCCTTAGGTGTATTCATTGCAAGCAGATCTGGAGCGGCAGATTGAATGGAACTGCTACGTATACATACATATATAGATACAGTATATATGCGTGAGCAGTGTATATACATGTAGATACTGATACTAATACGTTATAGTTCTAGAAACATCGAGTCGTGAGTTACAACGCGTTGGAAAGTACAGAAGGGATACACGGAGGGACATACGTGCTATGTATGGGAAGGGGGCAGGATGGGTGAGAGTGGAAGAGAGCGGAAGAGGGGTGAGGAGGAGGAGGAGGTGTATGATGAGAAGAACAATAAGTATGCGCAGGATGAGGAGGAGGAGCAGCATCATGAGCAGGAGCACGAGCAAGAGAAGGATGAATGAGGAGGGATGCGGTGAGAGCAGGACATCGACGATGAGCACGAGGAGGAGGAGGAGGAGGAGGAGGAGGAAGAGAGAGGTGGAGGGAGGGAGAAGGCAGGGATGAATGCGTGCGGGAGAAGAGGAGGGGCGGGGTGAGGGTGGTTCACGCGTTCCAGCTCGGGATTTGGTCCTCCCTGGACGGCGTAATCCTTGCGGCAGAGGAGAGTTGATTATGGTGACGATGGTGGCGATGCTGATGTTGATGCTGATGCTGCTGTTGTTGTCGATGCCATCATGATGGTAGTGATCTTGATGATGCTGCTGATGATGAAGATGCTGCTGATCATGACAATGATCATTATGATGCTGTTGCTGATGATGATGGTGATGATAGTAGTGATGCTGTTGACGACGACGATGATGCTGATGATGATGGTGATGGTGATGCTGATGATGCTGGTGATGATGAGTGCGATATTGGTGGCGGTGGTGATGACGAAGAAGATGCCGACGATGCTGATGGTGGTGGTGATGATGATGGGTGGTTTGATAGCGTTTCTGATTACGATGATGAGGAGGAGTATGTGAATGATGTGGAGGAAGGGCAGGAGAAGGAGCAGTAGGAGAAGAAGGGGAAGGAGGATGCTGATGATGAGGATAAGGAGCGGTGACGTTGTTGATGACGACGACGACTGGGGCGATGACGATGGTGATGCCGAGGATGGTGATTATTGTTGTAGTGGTGACGATAGTGGCAGATGACTTTGATGATGTCGGCAACGACCGCGGTGGTGTTGGTGTTGGCAGTTGTGATGATGATGATGCTGCATGCTGCTGCTGCTGATGATGATGATGATGATGATGATGATGATGATGATGATGCTGATGATGCTGCTGATGATGATGATGATGATGATGATTATGATGATGATGTTGATGATGATGATGATGATGATGATGATGATGATGATGGTAATGATGATGCTGCTGCTGATGATGATGATGATTCTGTGGAGGTGGAGGACGACGACGACGGATAGGTTGCCGCTGACACCGCCGCTCATCATGATGAACGGTGCAACCTGAGTGCACTGATGGCCTGGGCATTGCGGCTTTCGGGGGCCAGTCTCTTAACTGTAAGCTGTGCCGAACCATTAGCCACGCACGGACTGGAGATTACGCAGGGTGGCGTTTTTTCGGGCGTGCAAGGGCAGCACGTTGTCCGCTCGACCGCACATCGTTAGGGGTCGCCTGCTCGCCATGATATTTCCACGATTGGCTGGACATACTTGAACGCGCAGTCGAACACGTGTATGCATGGTCGAGATGTAGGGACACGCGACGGGGGGAGATTTGGAGAACGGGGGA